TGGTCCCATGGGGAAGAAGCCCGTGAATCTGAAAGTTAAGACAGAGTGCAGTTACAACTTAATCACTCCATTTTCTTTTCCTTTGTGGAAAACAATTTTCTGTGCAAGGCTTCTATGGCTCATGTTCTTCCACGTGTATAGCTCTGCTGTGTGCAGTCATGGAAACATGGTATTTTAGGATGGACAGGGTCTCTGAGATCACTGTATTCCAAACTCCCAGCTAATTCAAGAACCAGAAGTACAGTCTCCATTGCAAGTGACCCTAGTGGAGGCTTCTGAGTGATGGAACAGTCATCCCATGAATGGGGAGCTCATTACTTCACAAAGTAGCCTCCTCAGGCTCTACCTTCTAAATCATGCCTGAGGCTGTTATACTTGACCATGCCTCTAAACCTCACAAAAAGCAAAGCGTCCTGGTCAATCACTTCCTTCCAACTGGGATTCCAAGGCACAAATCACAAACTACGGGACTAGAGTGAAACCACATCATTCTTCCTAACATGATACCAAGCTCAAAATAAGACATTAGGGGCGCCTGGGTGGCTCAGTCGGTTAAGCATCTGACTTCAGCTCAGGTCATGATCTCAGGGTCCTGGGATGGAGCCCCGAGTTGGGCTCCCTGCTCAGCGGGGAGTCTGCTTGCCCCTCTGCCCCTCCCCCCACTCATGTTCTCTCTCTCTAATAAATACAATCTTTACAAAAAAATAAGACTTTATCCCCTCATGAAAAATATATTCTAGAAATGGGAATATAGAAACCCATGGCCATTCTACCGAATAGAAAAAAATCATGGGCAAAGATGAATTCCCAAAGAGAGTGAGATAGTGGCCCACACTTCTCTTTAAGGACTAAAGAATTTAGATCTGTAAAGATTCTCATTTAGAAAATTTTTTCATTTCTCGGGGCACCTGGGTGGCTCAGCCGTTAAGCATCTGCCTTCGGCTCAGGTCATGGTCCCGGGGTCCTGGGATCGAGCCCCGCATCGGGCTCCCTGCTCGGCGGGAAG